AGCAGGAGGAAGATTGGGAGTGACACAGGTGAGCTGAGTGAAGCTGGTGAGTGGAGGAGTTTAGCAGGGCAAGCAGAAAAAAATATATGGGCCTGGCTTGACACGAACCATGAATCATTACACTGGCAAAATAAACACCAGTGGTAGATCATCAAAGTCCTGGAAGTTGTGAATTAGGGTCTCCATTAACCAGACATCCTAAAGACGCTTGAATAGTTTGAGATCTTGAGAACTTGTTCCACACATCAATCTTGTCTCATGTCATATGATCATGGTTGTGTTGTTGACAGGAACAAAATGCAGACAAGCAAAGCACGAGACAGATAGGCAAATTTATCCTGAGTATTAATTTTTACCAGGAAAGAAACAAAGTTGCTGCTTTGGCAAGGGCGTTTTCAGAAACTAGAACTGAAACAGTTTTGTGTCACATTTTGTGGACACATTTTGGACCCAAAAATGTAGACTGACAAACGCAAGTAAAAAAAAAAACCTCTAGACTTATTTAATAAAAAAAAAGAAATAAGTTGATGTGGCAGCAAAAGTCTACAAATACTTCAGATCCTGACAGAGGTGATGATGATGGTCTCTCAAAAACGTCTTGTAATCTTTGTGCTCACCAGCTCCAGATTATTTCAGCTTAGTGGAAACCACAGAGAGGAGATAAAGGGGCCAAAGAGTCGAGTCCACAACACCTTCTGCACACCAAAAACCTGTAAGTGTCCCAGACTGTAAATTTGTTTTTTGAGCTTGTCCCATCTAATAGATACTTTATATAGTGAAATGTTTTATACTTACTGTTTACAAGAAGTCACAGTTGGATGTATGAGAGGACCCAAAGTTAACTAATACAAATAGTGATGCAGGTCCAAGAAGCACTAATTCAAATTAGAAGAAGAATGTCAGCTATTCTGAACTCAGAGGCACCTAATACAGACCATCACACAGTGGAAACATGGACTGTGGTGAGACAAATCAGTAATCCAGGTGTTTTTATGAAAGCTGTGTCTTTTGAACCACAGAAGAAGAAAATAAATAAATAACATTCAGGCTGCTGTCAGCAACAAGTCAAAAAGACAGGTCCTGTGATGGTTTGGGATTGGGTCAGCAGTTTTGTCAAAGCTCATTTCCATTTCTGTGGATGCAGCAATAACGCTGAAAAGCCCTGCGGAGATGTTAGAGCAACATGTGACGTCCAAGAACAAAATTATGTAAACCGTATTCTGCTCACTTGAACAAAAGAAAAATATAATGTTCAACAGTTTTCATCTGATAGGATTTTAAAATTGGTCCATTCTTTCTTGCAGGGTCTAAAATGATTGGCTGGCAGCTTTGCTCCAATGTATCTTATCCATCGCCTACTTCTGGTATCACTGTCCCTTCTCATGGACCAGTACATCTCTCCCTGATGATGCTGAAACTAGACAGGGGCCTCCATTACTATCTGCTGGAAGCTGCCTACTCACTCCATCAGCAGGTGCACAAAGATGTGCTTATATCACCAATAAGATTTAGTCAAGAGTTAATTTCACTAGTACTTTCCCCTCAGTCACATCTGAATTGTTTTCTAAATGCTATATTGCCTCACATATTGTGGTTCAGAGAGACTCCTGGCTTCCTACAGAGGCCTCCATCCACCTCTTGCTGGCTACACCACAGTCCTCCATCCTCAGAGACATGTCTCTGGACCTGGCCTTCAACTCTCACAGAGTGCTGCTGAGGATCACCCATCCTCTGAAAACCATTCTTATACAAGGTTGGTCCCAGAGGAATTCTAACAGCCAGGATTTTTTTTTTTTAGATCTTTAAAATAAAACATTTTAAAGCTGTTATCTTCTCAGGACAACTTGAAGAAGAAAAGAACATCAAATCAGGAAAGCTGGAGCTTGTGATTGACAGTGTTCATTATTATGTCATGGTAAGTATCACACTGGATTTGTGTGAGAAGATTAGGTGTAATCTTTTACTATAATCTTTTTTCTTGCAGGGTTTGGTTGACACCCACACCCTCCTGTCTGAGCTGAGGACACTGTATCATTTTGAAGCTAAGATGGCTCCAGATGAGCATCCGATGATCTTATCTGCTAATGTTAGTCGTGGACTGGGCAGGAAGGCCAGCTTTTCTGCTGCTATAAAAAACGTGTTCAGAGAAACGGCATCACTCTCAGGTGATGTTATTTAGTTATTTAAATAATAGCAAACGTCTGATTGAACAAATGACTGAGAACATGCAGTTTGTCTGTGTTCAGTGGCTCTGGAGCGCCGGCGGGACGGCAGCAGCAGCCAGTACTCAATGGAGGCAGAGCTCCTTTTACCTGGACTGGTGGGCAGCAGGATGCTGGGACTGATGGAGCAGAGGGACTCACTATGGAGCTCTGTGCTCAGGCTCAAATATGGCCTGGGGGGTGAGCATAGGCTTTATTTAAGTGGGAAGAAGTCACGCTGATGCCACCATCTGGTTTGTAGACAGCTGTTTTGTTGCTCTCCTGGTTAGTAAGACGTGCAGTGCATCCAGATGTATGTCATGATTTTAATTTGAAAAGTATTTTCTTTTATATTTATACATAATTTTCCACCAAAAGCTTCCCCCTGAAGGTTCAATTACACATGAAGTACTGTAAGTTTAAAGTTTAATATTGTTTAAAACAAACATAAATATAGGAAAAGGTGCATGCTAGAATCTTCTGGTATTTTTAGTCAAGTAATCTAAGGAAGGTTCTACCATAATGTTAACTGAAAACAGATTAATTAGAGCAACGACACCTTCATAATTTAGGTAAAACTTATTTACATAGTGGTATGCTACAAGGTAAATTATTCCCCTTTAATTTTCTCAGGGAAACAAGAGGGGATTTAAATGGCCATGTGAAAAAAAACATGAGTATTTTTTTATTTTTTGCATCTAAAATGCAACTGCTGTAACCGCACTGATTTGTAGGCCTTACTATAAACGCTACATTTCTGTTCAGTTCAAGGTTCAAGGTTCTTTATTGTCATTCGCATCACATGTGGTACATGAGGGGGAATGAAATTGTGTACTCAAGTTCCCAGTTACATCCAAAAATAGTAAAAATATAAAGTATAAAAAGAAACAGTAGACAAGGATCCAAGATATATGCTAAAACAGCAGCCTGAACATGAGTCTGTAGTGAGAAGATGGGTATGAATGAATACAGCAGTATGAGATAATCAGCAGTATGAGATAATCAGCAGCACAGATAAAAGTGTCAAATGTCCAATTAAAGTGGGATTACAGTGAAAATCCTGATTGGGAATTCATGAGTCTAACAGCCTCAGGGTAGAAGCTGTTCCTCAGTCTAGTGGTTCTACACTTAATGCTCCTCAACCTCCTTCCTGAGGGGAGCGGGGCAAAAAGTGTGTGTGCTGGGTGAGTGGGGTCCTTCATGATGCAGGTGGCCCTCTTCCTGCATCTGGAGGTGTGGATGTCTGTGATGGTGGGGAGACTTGACTCCAACATCTTCTGTGCAGCCTTCACCACTCTCTGCAAAGCTTTTCTTTCTGCAGCTGTGCAGCCTCCATGCCACACGTTAATGCTGGAGCACAGGATGCTCTCCACTGCACACCTGTAGAAGGAGGTGAGGACTGAGCTTCCCAGTCCAGCTCGTCTCAGCCGCCTGAGGAAGTAGAGTCTCTGATGAGCTTTCTTGATCAGGCTGGTGGTGTTGTTGCTCCAGCTGAGGTTGACGTTCAGGTGCATGCCCAAGTACTTGTAGCTGGAGACCACTTCCACCGCAGATCCTCCTATGTTCAGTGGGGGGGTAGGTGTGGTTCCGTCTGAAATCCACAATCATCTCCTTTGTTTTCTTCACATTGATGTGGATGTTGTTCTTCCTGCACAGTGCCTGAGCGACTCTGCAGGAGTTGTGGAATGAGTGCCTTAATGTTTTCTTTATCTGTGTGAAAGTTACACATCTTTTATTTATCACAATGTGAACATACATTTACGAAACATCAGCAAATGTGCACAGCCTGTATCTCACACTTAGTTTAAAACATGACATGCAGAAACTATTTTTTGGATTTCAGTAAATGTGCTCATATTAAGACAGAAAATCTTCGATGTAATTCTAATTTTAATCCAGAATGTAACTCAGTAGTAACAGTCTTGCTTATTCATCAGTTGTGTTTTAGTTGAAAACATCCAAGTCGTGCTCTGATGATTTTAAGTCTTTATCCATTAACTGTCGTTACAGATCACAGCACATCCACAACAAATCAAACAGCACTATTAGAACCAGCATTTGTTTATGTCAATGTCAATTTTCATTTACATTAAAAAAAACACTAGTATAATAAAAAAAAGGGGTAAAAACACAACTAAAACAAGAAGATAGCACAACTGCAAACTTCTGATGGAACTCAAACTGAACTTGAATTAAAAGCCAGTGGAAAAAAACACGAGTTTTCAGATGTGATTTAAAAGATTGTACGGACTCTGTAGTACGAATATCAAGCGGCAGGTTGCTCCAGAGTCTGAGCGCTGCCACCACAAAAGCCTGATCCGCTCCACGCTTTAATTTATCCCTGAGCTGCACAAAGAGCATCTGACTAGAAGATCTCAGTGCTCTGTTTGGGTTATAAAAGGTCCATTAAATATATGGGTGTCCAGCCCTTTAAAACTTTTAAAGTAAGTAATTGAACCTTAAAATCAATACGAAAATGAACAGGCAGCCAGTGTAAATCTGCTAAAACCTTCTGGTACCTGTTAAAACATGTGTAGCAGTTTTCTGGACTAGCTGCAGGCCAATTGTTCAAGACCAGCATATCAAGAGTTGCAGTAGTCCAGTCTAGAGGGGATAAATGCATGGATAAGAGTTTTGAATTAATTTAAAAAACAGTTTTGCAGCAAACTTAAAAGAAAAAATGCAACATACAGTGAAAATATGTGTATTTATTTGTGGCTTTTTTAATTTAACCTGCTCACAGGTGATGCCAGGAATCTGCGTCAGGAGTGTTACACGTCCCAGAGACTGAGGAGTGGGAGGGACTCGAACCTCACATACATCCTGAGAGCTGATCATGAGTTCTACTGCACCAGCACCACTCCCATTAACCATAAGGTGACTGTGAACTGAAGCTGGCATTGTAACGCAGAGCAGTTTATGAGTCATAGGAGCAGATTTACACTAAGTATGGCTCTGTGTTAAACACTGTTTTTGGTGTAAATCAGTGACTGTCAGTAATTATTGTGGCTGTACAATGTAAAGTTGATTTTACACAGTGGTATTTGCACCTACATCTGTATCTAAGCCACATTATTCTTGTTTTAAACAATAGATACACACGTTTGAATTTATTATGGTTTTTCACCAATTCTCACAGGGTCAAGATTATGCATACTTAAATGGATGCCTCGACTAATTTTTGGATAAATATCCTACAGCAAGCTGCTGTCGTGTTTGTAGATTTTTCCTGAACCCAAGATGCAGACAACTCAGATTCAGAGGCTTGATAAAAAATGTATTTAATAATAAACAAAAGAATGAGCTGACTTGGCAGCAAAAACACACAAAATAATCTCTGAATACATGAGTGTGAGAGGATCTGTGTGTTATTTGATTTTCTAGTGTCGTCTGTCCCACCCTCCTCCGTGCTTTTTCCCCATGTGATCATCTCCAGCCACTCCCACCTGTTCCTCATTGTCTTTTCCTCAGGTGTCTGTCATTATCTGTTGGTAGTGTCTCTGAGTTCCTCCTTGTCTGTGCATTGTCCTGTAAGGTGTCTGGTTCTGTCTCCCTCCATGCCTTCTCATTCCTTTATTTCTGTGATTATTGCTGCCACGTCAACCATTTATTTTCTGTTAATAAATATTACTTTTTATTTACCCTGCGAGTTGCCTACCTGCACCTTGGGTTCAACAGACACCACCAGAATCCTGATAGAGGGAGCAAACACGACCAATCGTAGGAAACACAAAGCACGGACAGGGAAGTAACACAATGACACAATTTCAAGATACACTAATGACAGACAATTACAATTACCTGGGGAGACAACGAGTATCAGGTGAGAGTGGCAAGGCTGGAGCAGAATATCATAAAGGAAAAACACAGGGGAAGACTGAAGTCATCAGAACGCAGGAATCACAAGAAATCTGAATAAAAATATCACAAAAACACTGAATCCTCATGGCTGCACCTTAAACACACTTTTTATTCCCATCAACAGGTTTCTGGCATAATTCGGAGGGATAAAGTAAAGTGCTATGTGTTGTCATCATTGTTATGTTCCCATACAAAGACAAAATTGGCTCTCTGCATTTAACCCATCACACCTGGGATACATCAGGTGGAGCAGTGGGCAGCCATGTAAGCACCCGGGGAGCAATTCGGGATTAGGTGATACTGACCACTCTTCTCCTTAACATAATTAAAGTTAATTTCAATTGGCTGGTTTTCTGGCACATGCCTGGCTTTTAAACAGAGTCCACACATTGTAACACGGTTGGTATTGGAGCTTTGGAAGGGTAATTCCAGAAGCTTAAAGTTAGCCTCATTTATCCAGTCAGAATTAAATGAACCTTTATTTATTCAAGTTAGTCTCATTGAATCACGAGGACTCATTTACAAGAGAGACTTGTTTTAGACAGACAACATTTAAAGTACAGACAACAATTCAACAAAAAGCAATTAAATCAAATAAAAGAAGTTATAAACACAGTTGAATCAAAATGCCATATACAACAAAGTAAAATACTGAAAACAAGAACAAATTTGCTTTGATATTTTTATTGACATTATCAAATGTTTAAAATTCCTTAGAAATATCAAAGTTGAGAGCTTCAGTTCTTGTTGCAAGGTGTTCCAGGTTGCAGAAGCAGAGTAAGAAAAGGCCTTTTTGCCAAGTTCAGGCTGCACTGATTGGATGCTGCAGGTAATGATTGGCTGAGAGCGCACACTGTAGCTGCACTGACGACGTGACATGTGGGAGGAAGGCAGCAGACCAAGGAGGGATTTATACTATGAAGCTGTACCAGTGTGAGAGCCTACATGTAGATAATGATGACCAACTGAACAATGAGTACAGAGTGCAGTGATGGGTACGGTAGTTACAACCAGTTATGAATCAGTGCACCATGATAGACAGCATGCAACATCTGCATGGAGCTGGCAGGAGCGTTCATGTAAATAGTGTCACCATAGTTAATGTCCAGAAAGTAGTAGCTACAAGGCGTTTCTTGGCATTCGGAGTTAAACAAGATCTATTTCTGAAAAAGAAACCCAGTTTCAATTTCAGTTTCTTTATCAAGCTTTCAACATGCGGCTTAAAAGAGAGATTTGCATCAATTAAAATTCCCAAATATTTGTAAGAATCCACAAACTCAATAGGAACGCCATGCATGGATGAGAAAGGAGGAAGAGCTGCTGGCGCCAGCTGTTTGAAAACAACATTCAGTTCCGATGTGTGTTTGAACCTCATTTTACTGTTGCACTGTGTCCACGTTTCAAATGCTTAGCTGTTGGTTTGAGGTGAAGTTGAAAAGATTTGAGAAAGTCCTCCTGCTTTTTTATTTCATCCACTTTGTGCTATTTACTAGGAACCCAGCATGATGCTACCATCACCATGCTTAACTGTTGGTATGACCTTAGGTTTGAAGATCTATACCTTATCACCTCCAAACATACTTCATGACGTTGTGACAAAATAGTTCAATCTTCATCTTGGCTGCCCATAAAGGTTTTCTCCACAATTTGGCTTGTCCATGTGGGTAGCAAGTATAGGTGTGGCTTTTTATTAGCAGAGGCTTCGTTCCTGGTTGCCCCTCTTTCACTCCATGTTTATGTAAAGCTGGCTTCACTGTGGCCAGAGACACTGGTGTTGCATCTGTTTCCTGTTCATGGAAGACTTCAGAGCTCAGGGGTTCCTGGGTTGTTCCTACACATCATAACCTATTTCTATTCTCTTTTAAACCGTAACTCACTTCATTGAAGGTTTCATTCAGTCATTACATAACATAAAAATGTTTCATAATGATGTGATATGTTCTTCTCAGCTCCACTTTAAGCATGAAGAAAGCTCCAGCCACATCAATTCAGTCCTGGACATGAGCTATGGTAAACACTGGGATGAGATGAACAACAAACACACACTCCTCCTGAGCCAGTCCTTCAAAAACCAGTCTACGCTAAATCACACCAACTACATCTTTGAGGTAAACCAACTGGAATAACCTTTATAATAACCATATTTCTTTATTTAGAGACTAACATTATTTTCCCTGATGTTATTCTAGTTCAATCTCCAGATGCCAACAAAACATTTAAACTACAGGACTCATCTTATGCACTCCCACCTCATGAAGCTTGGTTCTGACAGCAGCACTCATTTACAAATCAATTACAATGACCTCATGCCCCTCGTGGCCAGATTAGACTGGAAAAGCTCTCCAAAAGACTACCTTCGAAAAAAATGGGAGGGTAAAAACACATTTTTTGTTATCTTTGCATGAATCTTTTTTTTTAGCTACATATGAACACTAATCTTCCTCCTTATCATCCAGGCACATTTAACATGGACACACCGTGGCTGTATGTTTACACCACCTACAAGCTGAGTTGGCTGCAGCTCCACACCCTGCAGCTCACCTTGGAGCTCACAGCCAGCAAGTGGCTGACTGTTCGTGACCTCGTCCTTCAGGGTTTTTACAGGGACAGGAGCCAAGAGAAGGAGGCCCGTCTGGAGATTTACACACCAGCTGTCAGTTACCTACAAGTAAAGATCAACTAATTTGCTCAGTCTGATCAGTCAAGTATCATCTATTTGCAGTTTGTCTACATGTTCATTAAAATAGTCATACAATTATGGTAAAATGATTACATACATACATACACACACGCGCGCGCGCGCGCGCGCGCGCACACACGCACGCACACACACACACACACACACGCACACACACACACACACACACACACACACATACATACATACAGCAATCCTTTGGTCTACAGAAGAGCTTACAGTCAACTCAATGACTGCAAGGTGCCTAGGTCCTGTGGCTACAAAACAAGCTCAAATCCTCAGCTTTCCACCACCTTGCTTAACAATTGGTATTGGGGTGTGTGCTGTAAGGCTGTTTGTTTTTCATCAAACATCAGAATCAGAATAAACTTTATTGGCCTTGCACCGAGATACAACGCGAATATGTACGTACAGTCGTCTGAAAGATGGGCGGAGTGCACGAAGCTGCAACTATAGAAAGCGTGGCCTTCTTATCCTTATCAGTTAATATTCTTAGATAGGAAAAGGGAGAGAAACATGAGGGTAGATAGTGGTATTAGAAAAAAAGATCTTTCACATCTTGTCTATCAGGACACGATTTGAGACATCAAAAAAACTCTACCAACAAGCACAATTAAAACATGATTACATTTGCATTTGACATCAAGGTGTTGAGATTTGTCCATAAGCATTTTTTCAGATCAGCCACCGTTTCTGAAGATGTTTCAGCCATCATTTCTGATAAGCTTGCACAGAAAGTTCTCGGGGTGGGGGTGGGGGGTGCGATAGATGAAGCTTTTGTCCTTGGGTACTCATGACCCAGGAGAAATTTGATAGTCGGCCCATCTCAGAGGCCGTCAGGGAGTCAGATTCAGATAAGCTTGATTCTTGTTTTTCTTCAGGCAGACAGATTACTTTTTTCCAGCCTTGAGTCCATCTGGACGTTCTGGTTCCAAAATGCCTAATTGTGGGATTCCATTCCACTAATCCATGCTATGAGTCTCCTTCAAGGTCGAACCCACCACGCTAACGAGTCCCAGAAGCCGCAGGTGGCCTGCGATTCTCATAAATCGCCTCCACCTTACGGTTAAGCTTGTAAACGTCTTCAACATCCTCCTGAGACAGAATTGACAGGCACATCATCTGCCACACTCCCCACAGATCCATGACGTACCCCACAGCGTGAGTCTCAGCTGGACATGCCGGTTCTCCAGGACCATGTCGCTTTGATGAAAAAATCTTATCAATAGAGTTGAACGCCCACGATTCCAAATCCATAATCTTCTTAATTTATGTTCGGGAGATGTGAACCAGGCACTTCAGACACACAGAGAGCAGCGCAGGAAGTAGGAAAAATGGGGGAGGAAAGACAGAAGCAGACACCTCGATGAGAACCAGGGAGGAAAAAAAAACATGGTGCTGTGCACTATGGTCAAGTAACTGCAGTTTATTCCCTTCACATGCATTAGATCAGCAGCACCTAATTATTACTTTATAGTCATTTTTCACCCATTTCCCAAGTGAAGAGGGGACTTGGAAATACTCTGCTTCCATCCATTTATGAGCTGGATAACTTTGAAAAATAAGGGAAGTACTAACTTCCATTTCCGAGTGTGGCTGCATCTAGGCATAAAGGGGCACAGGGGGTGGGGGGCAGAAAATTTTGAACAAAGTAGATGCAATTTCTTGCATTTTGGTGTATTTTAACAGGATGTTAAACATCTACACTTACCTACCTTTGTAAACACTCTGCTTCTGTTAAGTATCCTACCCACCTGACGGTTCTAAGCCGACTCTTCTCCGCGGAATTAACTGTCCAACTCCACATGTGAAACCTCCAGGTGCCTCCTCCATCTGTTCATTGCTGCTGCCTGCGTACGACTGCCTTTTTAGCTTGTTCGGCACTCACCCCCACCACTCACCCTAGGGCCCCACCACTCCTTTAGGGGGCGGAGATTTTTTAAGGGTAGAGGCAGAAATGCTTACTTGAAGAGGCAGATCGTATGTGATATTAAGTGGCTGTTGTGTTTAAAATTAGTGTTTATGTAATTATTTTCAGTTTACATATCCAAAATAGGTTTTATTCGTTCAAGACAGTCAAATTTGTTCACAACTTTATTATTAGTAAGCTTGAGATTTACCGGATCCAAGCAAACAATTACCGGAACACACCCTATCAAAATAACAGCGTTCCCGGATCTTGTTCCAGCAGGATCCAGCTTAAATTAAGCACTGGTCCATATTCAAAATTAGGTTGCCAAGACAAAATTCAATATGACTACTGCCATATATGAAAAGCGGCCACACCAGTCATTTTGAGGAGCCTATGCTTTCTAGTTTTTATATTGCTTTAAAGTTTGCTTACTGGTAAATTTTTGAGAGGGGAGTTTGGGTTGAAGTTTAATCTATGGTGGCCAAGACCACCAGTGGCCACCCCATGCATCCACCGTTAGACCTGGTCATTGATAAAATTGCTTGTTAAGTAAAGATTGAAGCAAGGAAGTATGTCATGTTGTTCATAAATAAACATGCTCATTTTAAATAAACCCATCAGAAAAATATGAAAGATCTACTTTATTAGTAATAGAGCTAAGAAAATAGCTTTATACATGCATGCATGGGTCTACTCTGTCAGAACTCATTCTGCATCACTTTCAAGGCAGGAGTGTGGGGTGTGGTGGGGAGTCGGGGTGTGAGGGCTTCCGGCTCCTTTAGCTCTCTGTGGACTCAGCCTCTGAAAGGAAACATCTCTCTGGAGGTCTCTAAATCCAGCCACTCCCTGGAAATGAGCACCATATATGGCAAGCAAAATGTCAGCTTTGCTGCTGTTCTGAACACGTCTGATAAGGTGGGTGGAGTCACGAGTGGTCTGGGAGTGTTAAATGCTTTTATAGTCACACAGTGAACGTGCTTGTTGTTTGTTGTTAAAATTATTTGTCTTCTGACAAGTCATCTCTGCTCGTGGACTTGTTTAAGACTTTAACAAAGAGGCTGGTGATTGTAAAGATGAGCTTGTCAAAGCCAAAGAGCAAGCCCTCTGAAGTAGAGATTGAGGGGGTGGTGGAGGAGCTGAGGAGGGACAAGAACATGTACCAGAAAACTGTACTGCTGCATCTCAGGTGTGTTTCAGTCTGGTCTACATGAGACTGCTAATGTGAACAACATAACACTGTTGATTTTAATACCTGCCAACCCATGCAGACAGCCCTTCCAGGACTTTCCTCAGTCTCTTCTCCTGAGGGAAACCTTCACTGTCAATCTCCTTAAAGACCTCTACATTATGGAATCTAAAGCTGTTCTCCATGACAATAGTGAAGTCCTCCACACCTTGACCCTTGGCTATAAACCAGCAAACCCATTTGTAAGTAAAACGCAAGATCTTCATGAGCTTAATAATTAAGAAAGCATATGATGTGTTTATGGCTATATTCAGTGATTTTAACCATTGAATACTATTTATTGTGCAGGTTTGTTCTGAACTGATCCATCCATTCAGCTCTGACATGATTCCAGCAGACTCAGAAATCTGCATGACTCTAACCAACAACCAGGTAAACTGTGTGTCACAGCAACGCACAACTGAATGTAAATTGTTAAGCAAGTCAATATATGACATGTTGGCAGAATGTTAAGGAAAACAATGACTAACATCCATCCATTAGCTTTTACCCACTTCTTCCTTTCCGGGTGGCAGGGGTTGCTGGTGCAACCACATCCAGCAATCACTGCGAGAAGTGGGGGACACCCTGGACAGGTCTCCAGTCCCATCAGAGGGACACATAGAGACAAATGAGACAAACAACCATTTATTTTCTCACTCACACCTAGGGACAATTTAGAGTTACCAATCAGTCTAACATGCATGTTTTTAGTCTGTGGGAGGAAACTGGAGTACCCGGAGAAAACTCGCACATGAACAGGGATAATGCAAACTTGACCCAGAAAGGTCCCAGTCTGGGATTTGATCCAGCAACCTTCTCACTGAGCAGCAACAGCACTATGAACCACTCCACCATGCATAACATTTGTCTTTTAAATAAATGTTTTTTTTTAAATGTTCTTCAGAGTCACAAAGAAGTAGGAGGAAGGTTACGGCTTTGGAGCCAAGACAGACTGAATTTTTTGGGGCAGATTCAGCAGACCTCTTCACCATCAAATTACCAAGTTATCAAAGTTAAAGCCAACTTCATTCATCAGCTACAGGTCAGCTTCCTTATAGCACATTGTGATAAGACACATAAAGTATTTATATTTGTTTTTACTTTAGGAACAGATCATCTCTCTTAATGCAGAGGAGCTGCAGTAATTGTTCATAATACGAAAATACAAACTAGAATATATAAATATTTTGGAGGCTTAGTGTTGCCACATACTAATTTACACAATGTGTAGTGTTGACTGCAGCCAGCAGTGTTATGAACGTAATCTTCACTGTAGTTTAAAAAGTCAACGTGTGACCATTTTATTTGTTATTGCTGTTCCAGCTGCAGCTCCCCTCTCCAGCTGCTATGGAGGGGGATGTGAGTTGGAACTCAAAAAACAATACTGGATTTGATTGTCAGGCCAGAGGTAAAC